CTAACACTTACCAAATTAGGTAATACGATGCTAATCAGTTAATTATGCCTTAATCATATGCTTGTCCTTTTTAGTCATGATTATCGTCTTAATCACTTTGGTCATATCGACCGTTGGCTAAGCCGGGAGGTGGAAGACCGGGGTTCCCTCTTTCGGTTTCGATCTCTTGCCGAGCCGAGGGAACCGGGAGGGCAACTGAGATTGCTTCCTTGGGTCTTGATCTTTCGCCGAGCCAAGACGTTGCTAAGAATGCCAACAAGTTACACTGTCCTGGCCAAGTTTTTGATAATCTCATAGGTTCGTTATCACGGCCACTACCATGTCCAAGAGTCGTGCCAAACAGTCTTTTATGCTTTGGTCATATCGGCAATCGAAATGACCTCCCAACCATCTCGATAGTCAATAGGATGTCACGTGCCGTTCCACGTAGTTAATTCTAGTACAATATACATCATACAATAAGAATCATATTAATGAGATAAGTCTAAGTCTTACTTCATTAAATGAGGAAAGAGGAGAGTGTGGAAAAAGCTAAAAAAAAAACAAGAGAGAGAGATAAGTATGCTCCAATCGGTGTAAGTTGGCACACCCTAGAAGTCGTGTGTATATAATAGAAAGAACGTGGATTTTGGGATGGAAAACCAAGATGCACATAGGGTCCACCAATGGCAGTCAATTTTGTGGAAGAATCAAATTTGAAATACACAGTGCAATTGTACGTGGGGTTGCCACTTGTCGCATAATCCAAAGAATCATGATTTGAAAGACAATAGAATAGGAAAAAGTTGTCCCAGTCAAATTCATAAACCCATTTAAATGATAAGTACTTTCTAGTCAACAATCTACATTGCCTTCACAAATTATCCATCTTCTACATTTTCTCTTGCAAAGTGTTGCACAAGACACACTCTTTTCCTTTTCTTAGTTAAAAAGGAAAAGCCTCTTATTTCCTTGGACAAAATGTATGTTATCCAAGAGAAAATCTTATATATGTTGGACATATACTAGTGTGCACTATTATACATCACTTAATATTTTAATTCACTTTTAATATCATGATCGATAATCATACATATCATATTTAATTCATAAAAGTATTACTTGTGTTTCTTTAATAATTAATATTTGATTTAGTTACATGCTCAAGCCATTCAGTTATGAATGTGTGTCATTTTTTATTTTTTAATTTTCTTAAACTAATGAAGTTGTTTTGTTTTTAAAATTAAGTTACATTTATTTTTCCTTGTACTCTTTGTTTTTATATTCTTTATTTTACTGCAAAAAAAAAAACACAAATTTTAAATTGCTTAAGTGTTCCAATCCATAATTTATTAACTAAAACATCAAATTTTCTCAAAATAAAAACTTTTTTTCTGCTTCAACATCTAAAATCACATCTTATAAAATCCTTCAAATTTTATTAATTCTCTTAGTTCCAATTTTTTTTAAAAAAAAAATTATTTCTCGTATTCATCACAAATACAGTTATGATTTAAAAAATATAATAAAAATAAAAAATTACAATTTTTTTATTTTAAAATAATAGACTTAATTACCATGAAAACAACTTAGGAAATTAATCAAAAAACATATACACTCTGTACAGTTAAAATTACAATTAAAACTTAGTAATTTAATTTATCAGTATAGACCAACGCATTTGATATACCTAATTTTTTTTATGACTTGGATTAGAATCCTAATTTATCCTCTTGATAAACAATATATAAATTCGATCGTAAATTCTCACCTAATTTAGTAGTCTTTTCTAGTCTTGTAAGAAATGAAGATTTAACGCGGCTGTATACACAAAGCAAGGCAGGATTCGAACCCTAACCTTGCTTAAGCGTGGATCAACCCCTACCGCTGAACCACAAGCTTCTGTAACAAGCATAAGGCTAAGGAGGGGAACCATCCCTCAAAAGCCGGCCCAAGAGGTTGGAGAACCTCCCGCCTGCCTTATAAGGCCTCCTTGGTAAGGAGACTTCCCCGATGTGGGACTTGTTACATTACCACCTCCTTCGAAAGCCAGCGTCCTCGATGGATGCACTCCACGGTACTTCACTCACCGACACTTCACTCGATCCTTGCCGGTTAGAACCCTCCGATGGTCAGAACCCTCCGTGGGTAGCCCTTCTCGAGTTGGCTGGCTCTCAATAAAAGCATCAATTGTAACGAGCATAAGGCTAAGGAGGGGAACCATCCCTCAAAAGCCGGCCCAAGAGGTTGGAGAACCTCCCGCCTGCCTTATAAGGCCTCCTTGGTAAGGAGACCTCCCCGATGTGGAACTTGTTACATTACCAATTGTAACGAGCATAAGGCTAAGGAGGGGAACCATCCCTCAAAAGCCGGCCCAAGAGGTTGGAGAACCTCCCGCCTGCCTTATAAGGCCTCCTTGGTAAGGAGACCTCCCCGATGTGGAACTTGTTACATTACCAATTGTAACGAGCATAAGGCTAAGGAGGGGAACCATCCCTCAAAAGCCGGCCCAAGAGGTTGGAGAACCTCCCGCCTGCCTTATAAGGCCTCCTTGGTAAGGAGACCTCCCCGATGTGGAACTTGTTACATTACCAATTGTAACGAGCATAAGGCTAAGGAGGGGAACCATCCCTTAAAAACCGGCCCAAGAGGTTGGAGAACCTCCCGCCTGCCTTATAAGGCCTCCCTAGTAAGGAGACCTCCCCGATGTGGGACTTGTTACATTACCACCTCCTTCGAAAGCCAGCGTCCTCGATGGCTGCACTCCACGGTACTTCACTCACCGATACTTCACTCGGCCATTGCCGGTCAGAACCCTCCGGTGGTCAGAACCCTCCGTGGGTAGCCCTTCTCGATTTGGCTGGCTCTCAATGAAAGCACAATTGTAACAAGCATAAGGCTAAGGAGGGGAACCATCCCTCAAAAGCCGACCCAAGAGGTTAGAGAACCTCCCGCCTGCCTTATAAGGCCTCCTTGGTAAGGAGACCTCCCCGATGTGGGACTTGTTACAGCTTCACTTAAAAAAAACTTAATTTTTAAATAAATAAACTTAAACGATATATATAAATTTATTACATTTAATAACAAACAAAAAAATGTCGCTATAAAATACATATATGTAAATATAAATCTACTTGACATATAATTTATACATAATTTTAATGTTGATTTTGAGTGAAATTCAATTATATATTATGTGTTAATATAACTAATTATACATATTTTTTTTTTAACAATATAACAATATTATATATATATAAGATAAAAAAAAATAGATTTTAATAACAAATATTATATTAGTATAAAATGTGTCACTACACATAATTATTTTTAATGTTATAATACCATTTGATTTATTTAGATTAATCATAATTCAATGTGATTAAATTCTAAATACAAAATAACAATAGACAAAAGATATACTTGCTAGTTCCATTTTAGTAAATAAAATAAAATAATTAAAAATACTTTTCGTTACAATAATACTATAAATAATATATTTTTCAAAATCAAAATACATATTTTTGTTGCACTTAAATGATATACGGTAAAAATTTCCTAAAAGACATTTTACAAAGATAAATTAGAACTCATATTACATCCACAATAACTTCTTTATGCATGTTTGGAAAAGTGTTTTAAACAATGCAACTAACATTTTTCACTTTCCAAGATGAAAAATGTAGAAGTAAAAAAAATACTTGTCTTAAGTTTAATGTGTATTTTTTTGGATTTCAATGCCAACCCAAACACACTATCATGAAGGAGTATTATATTATTTTATATATTTATTTAAAATTTAAAAAGTTTAAATATATTTTTAATCTTTCTATTTTGAGATATAATTTTTTTTCTATAAAACTTAAAATTTATGATTTTAGTTCTTAAAATTTTAAAAATTATTATTTTGATTTCTTAAATTCAAAATTTATTTTCTTATCTTTTAAATTTAAAATGGAAATTTTTAATCTCAATAAATATATATATATAGCTAAAAAAAACACATATATGATAATATTATATATTATATCATATCATAATTACTTATCATTACAAAATTTTACAAAAACACGCGTAGTTGCGTTTCTTACCTATTTATATAGTACAGATTATTGCAAGCCTATTTACACATCATATTTTTATTTTTCTACTTCTATACATATATAATTTTAATTGTTCTACTCAAATGTCATTAATTAATCTATCGTACAAAATTATATTATTCATGTCAATATCAATGAAAAGATTATATTACACTAATTAATACTACTTATGTTAATTTATGTATCCTTTTATTAATAAGATATACACTAAAAAGTTTACATTATTTTTTAATTATAATTTATAAATATTCGATAATAATTTTATTAATTTTACAATAATTATTTTAAAATCATAGAAATCATCAGTATTATGATTTTTAATCCATTAGCAATCACTCATACATAATAATTAAATTTATAAACCATAATTTTAATTATGATATTTTATAATAGTTTTTGAAATTAAAAAATATTAAATGAATATCAAAATTGAAATATAAAAATCACATTAGTTTATGTTTTTTTCTTTTATTAACAAGAGTTGTAATGATAATAATAAGATTAAATATAAGATTTTGTGTATATTGACCAACATTTCACTTAGTCATGTCCGATGTTACTAATTTTATTATGTATAATTGTTTGTCAGATTACATCAATTACCTTGCAGCAAAAATCTAGATGGATAAAACTACTGTAAGGACACATTTGAATTTTTAGGATTAAGTAGAAAGAGTTATACATTAATTATTAATTATAAATTTTGGTTTAATAGTAAACATTTGATGAAAAACAATAATAATAAACTGTAAAATTTAAGAATTAAAATAATTTAAACTTACATACTACTACGTATATGAAAAATAAAATAGCATGATTTTTTTAATATTAATGTTTTTTTAACATGAGTTATAGTTAGTGTCCCAGGATTGTAGGGGACGGTGCAAACGAAATTAAAATGATGGAAATTTATTTACATTACACCACCCTCCGACCAACCATGGCTGACTTGTTCATCATTTGTTTCTTCGTTGCAATTGTTCTTCTCTCTCTCTCTCTCTCTCTCTCTGTCTCTTTCTCTCTCCTAAACAATTCATCAAATCAATGCCTTTTAAAGCTCAAAAACCCGCCACTTCTCTCTCCGCATTCTCAACACTCTTCTCCTGATTCCACCTTCTGCCTCCTCTCCTCCTTTGCTTTTTCAGCTTTTCTCTTCTGCTAGACTCACAATTCAATATCAAATGTGACCACCTCTCTCGGCGCGAATTCGAACATTGGTTCGTCACGTCGTGGGAGATTAGCCCTTCTGCAACACTATACAACGTTGGAATTCGAATGTTTTGTCTCGGGTGTTTTTCTTTTTCTCTGGATCATGAGTCGTGGCGTATGAGGTTTGCTACCTTTTGATCCCACCTTCAAGGGTACCCCTTTGCGCTGGAGATTCCGAAAAATTGAATTTTTGAAAGATCTAGCGAGGTCAAAAGTCAAATATCTTAGCACCTCTATGATGGACCCCAAAACCCCATTTGAGGATTCTTCCAATTTTGATTCTTTCATGTTCAATTCATCGTCACGTAGAAGTGGCGTGGCCGCTCAGTCTAGGAGCAACTCCATCCAGGAAGTGGGTTTTGGCCACTCAGGATCCACGCGTGTGAGGTATGGGTCAAAGGGTGTTGATTCTGAAGCCCTCAGCATGTCTCAGAAGGAAATCAGTGATGAGGATGCAAGGTTGGTTTATGTTGATGATCCTGAGAGGACCAATGAAAGGCTTGAATTTGCAGGGAATTCAATCCGAACTGCCAAGTACTCCATCATCACCTTTCTTCCAAGGAATTTGTTTGAACAGTTTCATAGAGTTGCTTATATTTACTTCCTTGTGATTGCGGTTCTCAATCAGCTCCCTCAGCTAGCTGTTTTTGGAAGGGGTGTTTCCATTTTGCCATTGGCCATTGTGCTGCTTGTCACTGCTGTGAAGGATGCATATGAAGATTGGAGGAGGCACAATTCAGACAAAATTGAGAACAACAGGTTAGCATGGGTTTTGGTTAATGGTGTGTTTCAACAGAAGAAGTGGAAGGATGTTAGAGTTGGGGAGGTTATTAAAATCAGTGCAAATGAAACCATTCCTTGTGATATTGTGTTGCTCTCAACTAGTGACCCTACCGGGGTTGCTTATGTGCAGACTATTAATCTTGATGGAGAGTCTAATTTGAAGACTAGGTATGCAAAGCAAGAGACTCAATCTAAGTTGCCTGAAAAGGAGATGTTGAATGGGTTGATTAAGTGTGAGAAACCCAACAGGAACATATATGGGTTTCAGGGTAATATGGAAGTTGATGGAAAGAGGTTGTCTCTTGGATCCTCCAACATTGTCCTTAGAGGCTGTGAGCTCAAGAATACTAATTGGGCACATGGTGTTGCTGTGTATTGTGGTTGTGAAACTAAAGCTATGCTCAACAGCTCAGGAGCTCCATCGAAAAGGAGCCTTCTTGAGACTCGCATGAACTCTGAGATCATCATGCTTTCTTTATTTCTTGTAGTTTTGTGTACAGTCTCCTCAGTTTGTGCTGCTGTTTGGTTAAAGCGCCACAAGGGTGAGTTGAATCTCTTGCCGTATTACAGGAAACTGGATGTTTCAAAGGGGGTAGAGGACAGCTATAAGTATTATGGATGGGGATTGGAAATCCTTTTTACTTTCCTTATGGCAGTTATAGTGTACCAGGTCATGATCCCTATATCCTTGTACATTTCCATGGAGCTTGTCCGTGTGGGTCAGGCATACTTCATGATTGGAGACACCAGAATGTATGATAAGGCAACAAATTCAAGATTTCAGTGCAGGGCTTTGAATATTAATGAAGATTTAGGTCAAATTAAATATGTCTTTTCCGACAAAACTGGTACACTGACTGAGAACAAGATGGAGTTTCAATGCGCAAGCATCTTGGGGTTTGATTACAGTTCTGCAACAGACAGTCTTGAGAATGAGCAAGTTGAATACTCTGTTCAAGGTGCAATTTCTTCTTTAAATATGCTGGTCTGCATTTGATTTATATTAAGTATACTGCATTTAATTTTTTAAGATAATTTTTGGCATGACAATTTGACATGTTTATTTTGTGTCATTATTTACTCTCAGCGGATGGAAAGATCATTAAGCCAAAGATGATGGTGAAAGTTAATCAAGAGCTTTTGCAACTATCAAAAAGTGGATTTGCAAATAAAGAGGGCAAACAAATTTATGATTTCTTTCTAGCATTGGCAGCCTGCAACACAATTGTGCCTCTTCTTGTTGACACATCTGACCCTATGGTCAAGCTGATAGATTACCAAGGGGAATCGCCAGATGAACAATCATTGACTTATGCTGCTGCTGCATATGGTTTTATGCTTATTGAACGAACCTCAGGCCACATAGTCATTGATATTCATGGAGAAAGACAAAGGTAAATTTTATTTCATTTTTCCTGCGTAATGAGGTCCCATAGTTATCCTTTTTTTAATGAGTATTTCTATTATTGCCCATGCAGGTTCAATGTCTTAGGTTTGCATGAATTTGATAGTGATCGGAAGAGGATGTCGGTTATATTGGGGTATAACAACAATTCTGTAAAACTCTTTGTTAAAGGGGCAGATACATCCATGCTTAGTGTGATAGACAAATCATTGAACACAGACATACTACAAGCAACTGAAACCCATCTTCACTCTTACTCCTCTGTGGGTCTGAGAACACTTGTTATTGGGATGAGGGACTTGAATGTTTCGGAATTTGAGCAATGGCACTCTGATTTTGAGGCTGCAAGTACTGCTTTGATTGGTAGGGCTGCTATGCTTCGCAAAGTTGCTAGCAATGTAGAGAACAATCTGTGCATATTGGGTGCAACTGCTATCGAAGATAAACTGCAGCAAGGTGTGCCAGAAGCTATTGAGTCTCTAAGGACTGCAGGTATTAAAGTATGGGTCCTGACTGGGGACAAACAGGAAACTGCCATATCAATTGGATACTCCTCAAAGCTCCTAACGAGCAATATGACTCAAATTATAATTAATACAAACAATCGAGAGTCATGTAGAAGACGGTTACAAGACGCCCTAGTCATCTCTAGAAATCAAAGGGCTGTGTCTAGAGTTACGCACAATTCTGATGGAAGTTCAGATGCTGTTTCAATTTCAGCTCCATTGGCCTTAATTATCGATGGTACTAGCCTTGTTTATATTCTTGACAGCGAGCTTGAAGAAGAGGTATGTGCCATTAAATCTCAAAAGGTGTATTTACAGTGTATTTCATGCTGATTCCTAAGGTGCTGACTTAGCTCCATGGTGTTGATTCCAGCTCTTTGATCTTGCAACTAGATGTTCTGTTGTTCTCTGTTGTCGAGTGGCTCCACTACAGAAGGCTGGGATTGTTGCGCTTGTGAAGAATAGGACGGATGACATGACACTAGCCATTGGAGATGGTATGAAATCTTCTATTTTCTTGTTTCAGATTGTCATTTTCCTTCAAAATAATGAAAATAAAATAGGATAACAAAGCAAACAAAATAAAGAAAATAGAAAAGGCACTGGTAGAAAATACAGATTAATTTTGCTTGGTGTGATTTATGTGTTTATGTAAAATAATCTTTATCATGCATTTTCTATAGGTGCTAATGATGTATCGATGATCCAAATGGCTGATGTTGGAGTTGGAATCAGTGGACAGGAGGGTCGGCAAGCTGTAATGGCTTCAGATTTTGCAATGGGGCAGTTTAGATTTTTAGTTCCTCTCTTATTGATACATGGACATTGGAATTACCAACGATTGGGTTACATGATAATATACAACTTCTACAGAAATGCTATCTTTGTTCTTGTCCTATTTTGGTATGTTATAATTCAGAAAATGTTTATAATTAGATGTTTTCTTAGTTTAATTTTGAATTTGAGTATGCCACGAAAAAACCCTTAACAAAATTTTCTCTCTATAAACATTATTTTTCCTTAGTTCATTTTATTGGACCTCGTATACTTCTTTGAACTCATTTGGTGATTTAGATAAAAAATGAAAATTTCTTCTATGTTCTATTCTGGTATCTCTTTGGCTGTTACAATTTATGCCTCCAAATCTTGACATCTTTGTATTTATTATGTCTATGTTTTCCAGGTATGTGCTCTTAACTACCTTCACTTTGACAACTGCTATAAATGAATGGAGCAGCATGTTATATTCGATAATCTACACTGCATTGCCAACTATTGTTGTTGGTATTCTTGACAAGGATCTTAGTAAAAGGACTCTCCTAAAGAATCCTCAGCTTTATGGAGCCGGACTAAGACACGAGGCCTACAACAAAAAATTGTTTTGGTTGGCAATGGCTGATACATTGTGGCAAAGCATTGCTGTCTTCTTCACTCCCCTAATTGCATATTGGGGAACCACTGTAGATGTAGCAAGCATAGGAGATCTTTGGACTCTTTCAGTTGTTATTTTGGTTAATTTGCACTTGGCCATGGATGTCATCAGGTGGAGTTGGATTATTCATGCAGTCATTTGGGGCTCTATTGTTGCGACTTTAATATGTGTCATGATTATCGATGCTATACCTGCCTTCCCTGGTTACTGGTATGTGCTACCTTTTCCTGTTCTCTCCCTTTGAACTTTTATACAAATAAATCTAATGTGGTATCCTGCATTAAAAGGATAGGCATATTTGCAAATGTCAGATGTTCAACTTAATGTGTTTATTCTTCTACATATATTATTAGTTATTAGTTGTTTCCATTTGGTGGTATGACGTATTTTTCTTTGGTGTTTATTTATTGTTTCTCCGATTTTCAATTTTTCATGTTATAGTCCAGTTGTAGAACAACAATATTCTATGACTGCAGAGTCAAAAAAAATTGAAACAATAACATGTTTGACTCTAGAGAAAAAGTAGCTTTTTAACTCTTAAGTCACAAGTAACTTGATCAATAGTTTATAACTCAGCTTAATTTCACTTTATCTTAGTAAGAACACATTTAAGTAGATCTTAGGGAATTAGGGTGGATTATATTTCTGATTAGGGATTACTGGATACAGGGGCTGAGTCTGGTGCCGTAAACACGATGCAGTTATGATAAAATCTTCATGACTGCTGAATTCTAGTTATAGCCTATAGTTAGAAAGTTAACTAAACATTTTGCAATTGTAAATCCCAAACATGCTAATACTAATTCCTTCTTTTAGATTCTTTCACACACAATCAACTTATGCTTTTGTCCCACTTTCCTTGCCAATTAAATATGTTTTCTAGTTCTGAATGCTTTGAAATCAAGAGTGTCTCTGTCTTAAAAATAAGTTGATTGTATGTTGTGTTCCAAGAGAAATGCTAGCAATACATTCTTCATTTTAACCAAAAGTTAAAACTTATTGAAAATCACAAAATTTTGTATTAATTAAGAGAAAAGAGGAAAAGCAATCTAAAATGTTATTGATTTAATCAAATAAGTTACATCCACTGATTGTCATTTTGTTCTTGTAGGTTTCACTTCTTACTTAACAAGTCTCACAAAATTTTGTAGTTTCAATAAATTTAACCAATAGTTAAGAATGTGGTGTTAGAAGTAATTTATTATAAAATGTGTTACTAGCACTCCTCTTTATTCTAAACCTTAGATACAAGACCAAGTTTCTTCCGGATGAATTCTTCGTTTCCCTTCAATCCTTATGTTTAGAAGTCTTTGCGATCATTATTTCCATATATATAAAATCTGACGTTTACATGTGTACAAAAACTTGTGCAGGGCTATCTTTCATGTTGCAGGAACTGGAGTGTTCTGGTTATGTTTGCTCGGAATTGTGATAGCCGCGTTACTTCCACGATTTGTTGTAAAATATATTTATCAGTATTATTTTCCAAGTGACATTCAGATTTCAAGAGAAGCTGAGAAGTATGGGAATCCAAGAGACAATGGAAGTGGACAAATAGAAATGCTTCCTGTTTCAGATGCTCCACCAAGATAACAGAAGTTAGCTTCTTCCCTGTGTTCTGTAAAATTTCTTTTGTAAAGTTACATATTCTTTAGGCTACATCAGAGTATTTCTGTTGGTTGCCAGATTTCATTGTTCTATCCGAAGGATAGAGTTTTTGTTTTTAATGCAGAGGCTGCTTGTATTATTATTCCTTTGTGTCGATAAATTAGCCTGTTGTAAATTAACAATTATTATAGCAGATATAGAAAAGATGTTACAAGTTAAATTATAACATGAAGAGTTGAGTTCATTGCCTGCTTGATGATGCTAATTTTTTCTCTTCAGCTTGCTCAGATTTTGTTTTAATGCAAGGCTTTGTGATAATTATAAAAATACAACTTTGTTTACTGTGTTTTAGACTGGGCTTGAATCTCAATCTGCATATTGGGTTTCTTTAGCTCAAAGTGCTAGGTCATCCTAAGTCATGAAGTATGGAGGTCAACATCCTACTCAAGAGTTGGATTCCCAAAATGCATTTATAGAGTTTATGGTGTATCTCACCCACACATATTCAACTTTATTTATATTCAAGTAATGAATAATACAAATAAGGATACAAGAAAAAAAAAATTAAAGAAGATTCCTAATTTTGGCTTTACATATTAAACACATCTTTAACACTCCCTCCTCAAGTTGGAGCATATATATCATATGAACTAAGCTTGTTATAAATACAATCAACATGAGTACCCTTGAGAGATTTAGTAAATAGATATATATTTAGGTGGTCACTAGAGATTTAATAAATAATTGGTTACTAGAGCCAATAATGTAGGTGGTGATTTTGTAACGACCTGTCATGGTCTCTACACTTAGTGGAATCGCACTACTGCTAGTGAAATTAAGAAAAATATTAAGCTGGATAACTCATACATACATGTACAAATAAAAAATGAAAATAATTAAGTTTCTGGTTATAAAATAAAACTCCATATATGTATAGTTATTCCAAAAATAATATTTTCTAGTGCCGGTCAAGCACAGACAAAACTGTTATCCAAAATGATAACTCTAACACGAGGATCAAAACTCCCTGTCTCGCAGCGGACACCTCAACTCCAAGCTAGCCCTGACCTGCTCCCATACCAAGTATGATCATCGCAGTTCCACCACATGGAAACAGAAGAATAAGCTAGAGTTTAAAAATCAATGATGAAGCTAAACACCGCACATTTCATCATATTAACAATCATGTAATAAATGTATCTCATGACAGATATTAATGCATATCAATCATCATCACAAACAACCATACAGCTCAACATGAAAACCCAACTCATTCATACAACTTAGAAACAACTTTAATACAACAACAACAACATACAACTTAATATTTAATGCGTCGTCGCGCATGTACAACTGGGAGATCTCCAACAACTGAGGTTGAGCAGTCTAGGTGGCATAAACCCTACCGAATCCAGCGTTTGACCTATCTCAACCAGGTCAGGTATAGAACAATGTTAGGAACTCCGAAGAGAACCAGGTATAGACAACAATAGTCGATTGCTCAGGTGTGCCACTTAGACTCGGAGGTCCAGTACTACTGTCAGGACAGAAGGGTTTGGGTATGAGCCTACCACGGCCTTGGCTAGCATCACCAATCCACATGTGGAGTTAGCCCACCCACTGTCTTTCAAGTACCACGCACCCTCCAGTACCTAGTCAAAGACTACATCTCTAACTAGATACCTTACTCAAATTGGTCATTCAACCATGACATGGATTGACTATTTTCATGTCGCCCACACAGTACTAAGGGATTTAACTTTAAAATAACTTTTAACTTATCACCTTAGTACTATGTATCTCAACATAGGATATATATCTTCACCATATGTCCCCAACTTTTCAACTTTACAACAATAGACACCATAACAACTTTACAACAATAAACATTTGGCCGCTTGTAATCGGTATAGCTCGGCTTGGCCCCAATACCGTGGTCACTTTATACACGTGTGCCTCGACCTTGCTCACACACGGGATCAACTAAGTCCTAGAGGAGAACAACACAACGTCCACTCCAAGGGACAACTTCCCAAGGAGGGTTTTTCAACAAATTGGGCTCTCAGAGCACCATAACTATCTCAATCCACACAATGGGATGAGCAACTTCGAAAACATCTCCTCTAGTCCTAGTGATCAACAACTCATCATCACAGCTTAATCAGCTTAACAACTTAACAACATACAACTTTTCAGCAATAGACATTTTAACAACTTTACAACAATAGACATCTTAACAACAATAGACAACTTACAACAATACAACAATAGGCATTATATACTAGCTTGACAACTTCTTATTCAATCATACAACTATGCAACTTTAATAATTTTAACAACATGCAAACAACTTAATTAAAAACCTATAGTCATTACAATATCAATTTAATGCAACTTAACAACTTTATAAACAACTTCAACAATATACAACATATTTAAAATTCATTTATCATGTCAACTTACACATGAACAGCAGAAATCAACTTAAGCACCCAACAACTCAACTATTTCAACAAAAGAACAACATGCATAAAGCTTTCCTAGCTCTCCTAAAATTAAACAACCTACATTCTAGCTTCTCTCACCTGGAGATTGTCTCAAAATAGCCAATAACTGAGAAGAAGTAGAATTCCCTCCCGAAGCTCAACCCGGAACTTCAATCCTCCCAAAGCAAGCTTCCTAATCTGAATCTCAAGAAAAGACATAAGGCATTAGTGGTCTAGAGGAGAAAAAGAATCATACAGAGAAATTTGGGAGAGAAAGGAGCTCACAAACCCAGAGTCCTTCTCTCTAAAAACCTCATTTTCTCCTCAACCACGCAACCCCTGTTTATAGAAGTTCAGGAGTGGTCAGAACAGCCTGTTTCGAATCCGGAATGGCCCGTTCTGCACCCCCTCATCACGTACAAAAATTACATGCAGAACAGCCCGTTCTGAAACCAGAACGGCTCGTTCTAGGATTCATCTAGAACGGCTCGTACTCCCTTAGGAACAGCCCGTTTTGGGGTTTTGGAACGACCCGTTCTCCCTCCAGAACGTCCCGTTCTCAACTACATTTTATAGGTCAATTCAGTAATTTGAAACGGCCCGTTCCAGTTTGGGAACTGCCCGTTCTGGGTTACTGAATCACCCATACTAGGTTTTTGGGCCTTCTGAAATAACCTACTACGTTACAGATTTTGTCCAAGAGCACTTTCTCTTGCACAAAATGATAATCTATCTTTGTGATTAGTCGGTTAATGGAAGATTGAATTAAATGCAATGTGAAGAGTGAGTTAGTTGTCACAAATAAGTTTAGTATATTGAGTGTCTTCAAATTCTAATTGTTAAAGAATCTTAGCTATGTAATTTTGCCAACTGCTATTTTAAATTTATTGACTTTAAATTTAATTATAGTGCCTAGAGTTAGGTTTATGTAATACAATCTTTTCTTTATGATATTCCTATATGCATATTAGGATCAAGACATTGGTACATTCTTTTTTAAAAAATATTTTTTGTAAAACAAATTTTACAACTAAACAAACTAAACAAAAGAAATATGAGAAGAAATAAATGATATAGTGGAGAGAATAAAAATAAAAATTATTATTATATAAATTAATTTATGAATTGTTATATGATAACATTATATTATAAGACAATATCAAATACAATATTATTATTCCTACCTAATAATGAATTTGTTGGTCCATGAAGGTATTTTACTACATTCAAGATGGACTCCAAAGATCTTTGGATAATAATGAGCTCTCCAACATGATTGTGAAACACTAAGAATGAGTTGGTATTATGGTGAAGTGCATGTAGGTTGTAACTTTCATTACCCACCTCATTTAGTACTTAAAAATAAATAGGTTAAAACTTAAGAAAAATGATTGAATTATGTATTTAAAACTTTTTTAAATATTTTTTTTTCTTCAAAAGCTAGTTATCTTGTAAAAACATAATTTAGAATAGATCATCAAGTGTTTAAATACATAACAAGAAAGAAAGAAACACAAATAATTTTTATATTAACTCATTCTATAACTAGAATTATGTTCAATATATTTTTCACTAAAGAATTATTACACTCATGTTAAGAGAACAAATAAGTATTATTTGTCAAGTTTTATAAACTATCAAGCTCAACTTGAGTTTCATTTCATCAAAGTATTCTTTTTTATCAAGCATCTTCAAACTCTTTACAAGACAAGGTTAAGGTTACAAGTATTTAACTTACAAAGAGGAAAGATATGGACGTTACAAATAGTTGTATTACTCAACAATCAACTAATACAAAATATATTATTGGGATACAAAGATCTAATATTAATATGGCACATACAATAACTTGAAATTTTCACAAATAGTTTTCTTACTTAAAACTTGTATGAATTGGCGCATCAAACTTCTCTACTTCTTCATGGGTCTCTCTTTATATATGGCTACCAGAAGAAACATGTTGGGAGACACATTCGGGGTGGGAGAATGTTTGTAGTACACATTATCATGCAAGTCATGAAAAAAAGATGGGGGAAGGGGGGAAACATTTGTTCTACACACTATCAAGCACATCTTGAAAAAATGATACAAGTCTTTTGTCTTTTTGTGTTAATTGAGAGAGAAAGTTGCTACAGTTGTCACAACAAGTGCAACTAAGCAATATTTCCACTTTTAAATAAGTTGTTAACAAAGATTTTTTTTTAATGCTTGCCTTATGTGTGTATGCATCAGAATTTGAACATCCAATTTTGTAAGAGGACAAAGTAACATACATAAGGTTGCTAATTGAAAAATTATCATCATTAGTAACAATAACAAATTTGATTGACAAGTGACATCTCACTATCCATAACTATAATGAGTCACTAGATATGTATGAAATATATAGAATATAACAAAAATATATTGTTGGATGTTTAGTTAGTGTATATCCATTGGATGGTTTTGTATAAACATATTGAACGTCTTGATTTTATCATATATATTTCATTATTGTAATTTGATTTTATCCAAGTTCTTCTTACATAAAATTTTAATGTACATTTTTATGTCAAAACACCTGCGAGTTATAGATTTCTATCTTTGGTTTCAACAACTATGAGTACCTATTTAGCCGAGGTCAATAAATTTTATACAATTCATTTATGTATATCAAGAGTTTTGCACTTGATGGACATGATTAAACTAGTATTTGAGCCAAAGTAAAATATTATATGAATTGAACTTCAAGACCAATCTAAAACAATTTCTCTTTTGTTTAAATGTGGTAAAGCTCTTTGTCCTTGGATTTGGAAACATATCTGCAGACTAAACTAGTGGCAATTAGAACAGAAACACAGAAAACAAGATGCCAACAACTTGTTAAGAAACAAACAAAAAGGATATGTCTCTCCATAACATATTTGTTAACAACTGGCTTTACAAACTTTATTTTGTACATCACAACATCTTGGGTATATATTATGCTACTAGCAATATTGTTTTCTTCTTAAAAGAATGATTAACAATAAACTCTGATTAACCAATTTAATCAAGAAGTGGGTGAAGGATACACAAAATTTGAACATGGATAACGGATAATTCACATGACAATATTATTATTTATGGAATAAATTCACTATCAATATCATGACACTAAACTCATCCTTTTTCTTATGTGTTGGGATACAAACAAGTCTCACATCGATAAAATAAGACAAAAAATAACAATTTATATAATACAAATATACTTCAATGATCGAGAGACCTTCTGGGTAATGACCAAAAAATAAAATCGTGAGGACTTAGGCCCAAAACGGACAATATTTCATCATTGTGGAGTATGTTTGTGTAATAACCTTATAAAAACAACCTTCATCTTTGGTATCAAAGCCTAACCCCTCATAACTCATAACATATAATGTACTATATAAAGACAGATTTCATACAAACATACTTCAACGATCGAGCGGCCTTTTGGGTAATGACCAAAAAGCAAAACCGTAAAGACTTAGGCCCAAAACGGACAATATCTTATCATTATAGAGTATATTTATATAATAACTTTATAAAAACAACCTTTATAAAATATTCTCTCGAATAAATATTATAAAATAACTTCAACCCGACAAGGACAAGTTTGACATTTGTTCATCTTCCTAAAAGAAAAAACAGAAACACCACAAAAAGTCACAAGTAGGTCCATATATGTGTTATATCAATAAATTGCCCTAAGCAAGTTCTTCTAAAGGCATGAAAAGTAGCTTTGTCTTATATATCTTTTATGGGACCTTTTTAGTGATTTAGGTGACCTGTTGAAAGATAAATTTTCAGTTTTCTTATGAATTAAACAATCTTCATCGTCCGGATAAAATAAGTGGATACGAAGCCAATTATAATAAGTAAATTAAAGATCTTGTGTACGCATAAAGTGATTGCTTTTCTATGTACACCATAACCACAACCACATTCATGCTCTTCATACTTTACACATAATTTTTTTTCTTCTTTTATCTTAAAAAGTTAAATTATACTTTTGTCTCTAATAATATTTAATTCACAATTAACTTTTTTTTAAATATATCTTCATTAATTAACAATACATTTTCTTTACTTTTTATTTCCTTATTTATTTTCCAAATATCCTTTTCTAAAAGAAATTATATTAGAAAAACATTATTTTCAAAAAGTATTTTTTTAGTTAGAATTTTTTTTTCTTTCGGAATGTACTTTATGGAATTTAATTTTTTTTTTCAATAAAGTACTTCCAAAAAATAAAAATTCTTTTCAAGAGTAATTTTTAAAAAAGAAAAATATACTTTCAAAAAGTATTTTTTAAAAGACAAAAATATACTTTCGAAAAAAACTTTCTGAAGAAATTTTTTTTCCTCTTTAGAAAAGTAATTTTTGAAATTGTATTTTTTTTCTTCCAAAAAGTACTTTATAGAAGTATTCTTTTTAGCTTTAGAAATTACTCTTCGAAAATATGTTTTAGCACTCCAACTTAGAGAAAAATATGTTTTCAAAAACTTGGAAGAAAAAAAAAATACTTTCTAAAAGACATAAATATACAAGGAAGAGAAATATTTTTCTCTTTCAAAAAATATTTTTTGAAAGTATATTTAAGAATTGAAAAGTTCAATTTTAGAATGGTAATGGTTAATATATATTGTTTCGAATTAATAATTCATTATAAAATCAATACGTCATATTTTTACGTCATATTTTTGAAAAAGCGTCTTCATGAAATTTATAGTCTTGTAACCAATGTTTACAGTATTGGAGATAAAGTAAAAAAATTAATATTTAAAAAATGCTAAAATTAAAAGTGTCAAAAAAATAATAAAAATGAGTCAATCAATGTCTTATTTGTTGAAAGAAAAATCAAGAAATAAACCATAAAAAAGATAGGCATATAAATAGTGATTGGAGAATAATAGAGTAGAGAAAGAAAATGAGTAAAGGTAGAGGGGTGAATGAAAAATATAATTTTTAGAAATAAAATTTACTTTAAACAGGAAATAAATTAAAAGGATATTTAAGAAAGTTTTTGAAAAAAATTTTTTTTACCAAGTGGACATATCTATTAGTAAGGGGAGGTGTATATAAAATTATTCTTTTCAATCTTAGTCTCAATTTTATAAAATTCATAATTTTAGTTGAATTAATAAATATTCACGTCCAACAAGTTAGAACTCGCTCAATGAGAGGATTGATAGAGAGTCCTTCCCGCTTAATGAGCTATGGTCATCTGACAAGAGAACCCATAAAGGACTCAATCTACTCAGCAACTTAAATCTACTTAATAATTCATGTTTTATATCAAATCACAATTATCTAACCGTTAACTTAAAAGTTCTTACCATACAAATCAAGTCTATAAAATTTAAAAAAAAAATTAAAAATCATATGATACTTCGTTATACAAATTCAAATCAACATATAAAATATTTTTATGATTATCCATAAATTTGAATTAATGAAACAAAATATCAAATAATTTTTAATTTTTTTAAAATTTGTGGACTTGATCTATATTTTAAAATTTTTTAATTTAACAGTTAGATCATTAACATGAATTATTAAATAAAATAAGTTTATCAAGACTTTTTCCTATAATAAATAAATCTTTTCTCTCTCCCTCTATATATATATATATAAGATTATCCCTTAAGGAAAGTTCTTGCATGAGAATAGTTAAATGAGGTAAGTTAAATGATGGTTATGTTTTTTTCATTGCGTTGTAACTAAATTGTATCAAGTATAGTGATGTGACAAGTTATTATATATAATAAATATATTTAATCTTATCATAATTACTTTAAAATTATATTTAATATGTTAACGATGTAGAAAGAATTATCGACCATCCATAACATTTAATTCATAGCAAAAAATAAAAATAAAAAATGGAGACCCATAAATGGATCTCATTCTTAATATACTGAGAGTCTGAGACCTTAATTTAAAAAAAAAAAACATTATGTTAAAATCTCTTGAGGATAATTCGGAAGTGTCCTTTGGTTTTTCTTTTCTTGTTTTGGCAAGTTAACTGTTTGGTTCCCATGGTTGTGGGTGGCTTCATGTTGCGACAACCTAAGTCACTTTTTGGGTCCTAAGTAATTGACTGGATTACATTTGAGGCATGTCCCAAAGTTAGAGATTTTGCAATAAAGCCTTTTGGAGCAGATATTCATAATATTCATATTCCCACCCACTTCACAGATTCACACTTACTGATTCAGATTCAGCCTCTGCCTCAACCCATCATCATCATGGTCATGCCATTCAACCCTTCTCTTTTCTTTCATTTTCCTTCTCACGTGCTGCTCTTTTCTTGTGCAAATTTTCAGTAAGGTTCACGCTAAAGTTTGCATTTTTAAACTCACAAAAAGAAAAGGCTGGAATTTTATTTGCCTAGCTGAAATGGGTATATGAAAGCTATACATGATTTTGTTGTTGTTTGTTTAAATGGTAGAAAAGTCTAATTTTTTTTTTCTTGCCAAGATTTGGTCTTCGCATTGCAAGCTTATATTTGTATAACGAATGGTTTGATGTGGTCCACATGCCCATTACCTCAAAATAATTATGCACGAAGTATATGAAGGTGTTTTATTTATTTTTAGAATGTAGTGAGAAGAGTAGATTGTATGATTTTTAGTACTATGAAAAAGGCTGAGGGAGACCAAGGACATTGGAGGAATTTGTTAAGAGAGATCTTGTGGTTAATAATGTATATGTGAATGTTGCCTTTAACCGAGTCCAATAATATTGTTCGATCTATGTATGTGACCTCACCCAGTGAAATAAAACTTTTTGTTGTTTTAAAGCTAGTGAGGTGGAAGTTTTGTTCAAGGAAACTATTAAGTAAATGAAAGAAAATGAGGCTTTGATGTCTTTTGGTGCTATAGTAAATATAAGTGGTGGAATTTGATTTGAACTATTTGTGTTGGATTCTGATTTTAAATTGCACTGTTTCACAAGAAATAAATATTATACAGTTTAAATATGAGGCCAAATTAGTAGGTTTTGTTGCAGCAACTGTAGCAATGGGATATGGACAGAGGCTTGGTGAAAGAAGATTCTTATTCTTCTTGTGTTATGTTTGAAGTATTAGGTCGATGGCATTTTCAAATTGATTCTTAATGTACCATTTCCATTATTTGAACACTGCTTATCACTTTGCTGGAGCATAACCATGAAATACTATGATATGCTTAATGTGTGGCTTTTTGTTGTATAATTTTCGATGTTGCAATGCATATTTTATGCCAACCGTTACATTCTTTCAGAGAGTTAGCACCTTTGGTCTTAATGCAAGTTGTCTATTCCATGTATGCCTAGTTGACACAGAATGGTCCTCAATTGCAGAATGGACTTGAAGAATCAACCAATGATGAAGTGGATGTTCATTTGAATGAAGTATCTAGCAGACAAACTGATCCACAAGAAGATGATAACAGTACTCCAAACATAAATAAAAACCCTGCACCAAAACTGGTGGCCAATGTAGTTCATAGAACTAGTGAACACAAGAATGCTAAAAGAGATATTGATCATCAAGAAAAAGCTCTCAAGAAGCCAGACAAAGTCCTGCCATGTCCTCGCTGCAATAGTTTGGACACAAAGTTTTGCTACTTCAACAATTACAATGTTAACCAACCAAGGCATTTCTGTAAGAATTGCCAAAGGTATTGGACAGCTGGGGGGACGATTCGAAACGTTCCAGTTGGGGCCGGTAAGCGTAAGAACAAGAACTCGGCTTTGCAGCATTGTCAGATGACTCCTGATGCTGAATCTGTGATGCAGACAGATTCAAAACCTGCTACTGCTACTGATATGTTTCTTTCATCTAACACACTTTCTGTGACTTCAAGACCTATGAAAGGAATGGAGAACATCTCAAGTCTTAGGGAGGAAGCTCCTCTTAGTGAATCCTTAGAAACTCTGTTAAGTCTCAAGGGCCAAACAAAAATTGAAGTGGCAACTTCTACTCTCAAAGATGATGATGAGGAGGAGGAGCCATCTATCTCTTCTATGAGATCTTCTGAAATTGAGCAGGTTGGTTTGACACAACATTCTAATGGTTTTATCCCTTTACATTCATTTCATTATTATCCTCTTCCTTCATGGCCTTACCATTGGAGTCAATGTTGGAATGTCATGGAGTTTAGGCCATGTAGCACAAGTTCTAGACCTGCTTACACAGATTCTCCAACCATGATGGCAGTTCCTAGCTTCTCCATGCCATCAGTAACACTACCAGCTCCAGCAGCGACGCCTTATTCGTATCCGAGTTTCATGTCAAACATGACTGGCCTAAAGGAAGAGACTTCCCTTGTTGGATCTGCATTTAGTGGTATCTCATTGTCAACAACATCTTCAGTTAGCAACAGTACTTGTTCTAGTAATAGGTCCCCAACCTTAGGTAAGCATTCTAGAGATATAAGTACACTGAGGGAAGATGCAATGAAACAGAATCTGTGGGTGCCTAAGACTATAAGAATCAATGATCCAGAAGAGGCTGCAAATAGTTCTATATGGTCAACTTTGGGAACAAAATCTGAACAGAACAAACTCATTATGAAAGGAAGTGTTTTTAAATCATTTGAACCTAAGTCAAGTGCCAGTAATCATATGTCAGATGATAATCAAATCCTAAGAGCAAACCCTGCTGCTTTTTCACGCTCCGAATCGTTTCAGGAACGTGTGTAAAATCCTGTGTTCTGTTACTGTTTTATGTTGTGATCAGGTCCACTGTGTCATGTTGGCATTTTTTGTTGGATGAGGCACAGAAGATTTCTAAAATTACATTTCTGTCATGGATAGTTCCATGTATTGATGCTAAAGATAGCTATAGCAAGAACCTTGAAGAAATTTTGAGCTATATGTTCATCAGTCAATAAGAATGTCAACATGGTGTCACCATTTGCTTCATGGTAAAATAAGAATCTCAAGATGGTGTCACCATTGTTCAGTGAATCTTAGGTTAGGAATTTGCATGTGTCATTGACTTAGTGTGTTGTTTGACAGACTCATCAAGGTATTTATTTTATTGTTCTCTTTCCTTTTTCCAAAAGATTGACCCTGTATTGTATCTTGAGAGTTGATTATAGCAAAGAGTAACATGCTGAGGCTTATTTCCATCAATGCATATTTTAGAGCACAATACAATGAATACATACTTTTTTCTTTTTCACTTTACTTCTTTGTTATTTTTTTTTTTTCAAAGAAGTTGATTAATATATATGCCTTTCTTCATTCTGCGTTTCCTTTGATCAATAATAGCTTTTTTCATTTTCACCTTTACCATAGTTATTTTTTGTGATGACTATCATAAGCAATATAAGCTGGGAAAAACTTTGGTTACTTTGTTTTTGCCTGGTGTTACACGGATTGATTTGTTCACACAATAATGAATAATTATTGAGACAAAGAAAAATAATTAAATTAGTTACTTTTAATTAATTTTATCATAAATTTAATTTTTATTTCAAAAATATTTTTTGCTTTAAATGATTGTTATATTTAATATTGATACTTATAATCCAATGAATATGAAACAAGTGAATATATATGAAATAAAATTAACAATAAATTAAAGGTATAAATAAAATTTATCTCTGAGTAACATTAAAAACTATAGATTATTGCTTATAATTAGTATTACAGAAAAATCTAATTTATTGTTTATAATTAGGACAAAAAGTAGTATAAAATTACAGTCTTCTCTTGGGCTCTGGTTTTCTTTGCCAAATGAATAAATTATGTATGTACTTATTTGAGATTAAAAACATCAAATTCTTTGCAGTCTAATTTCATTTGTTTACTGTTCCATAGCTTAAACATTGTAGGAGTAGCTTTCAGAATCACTTCAAGTTTTCTATTAGAATTTAGAAAGGAACTCTAAATGAGATTCAAGTCCATTAATTATGTGTGTTCACTATATCAGCAACTAGACCACAGCATAAAAGCCTTCTACAATGTAACATTTACACTAACCAAAAGTAAAATCATATGGATGCTGATGACTATTGACTTTGGAGATTCTGAAAACACATGAATAGGTTAATGGAACACTTCAAAAAATGGAAGCTAGAATACTATGCCAAAGGTTAGATGCTTGTCATGTATTCTGTTTCTTGCACACTAGAGGCAAAACTAAAGTGAAGAATTTAAAATATTTGTATACTTATAAATAATATATACTATCAGTGTAAAACTTTTTTATACTGGCAACCAATCATATTTTTTAATAATATCATGTCAGTTGCTCATTTAATAAAATAAAAATAAAATAATTTAAAAGATATAATTAGTTACCAGTGTAAAAATTTTTACACTAGTAGTGTATAGATGATTAACTCTATAACAAAAAAGTGTGTAATAATGAAAATTAAAATGTAATTCATTTTCAATCTGAATCACCATAACCTCAACGTGATTATCAATTATTGGAGAAAATAATGAAAACAGGAATAGGAATGACTAACTCAATATTATTAGTTATATCTATGTATGTTGGCTAACATTCTGTAACAAGTTTTTCTTAATACATTTTTATTAGTTAAAATTCATTAAAAATATTTTTAAAAAAATCATGAGATTCATTAAATTTCATAATTTTTAATAAATTTTAATCAATTAAAGGAGTGTGTTAAATAAATGTGTAATCCGTATTTTGTATTGGAAAATAAAGATTTTAAACATATGAATTTGATTTGGAAAAGTGGGAAACTTATCAAAGGTATTTTAATTCTTCAAATCATTATTTTTCCTTCTTGAACATTTTAGATATACGAATCAAATTTAATATTTTTAATACTAGTTTGTCGGTCCAAACTTTTTAATGGTTTGAAATGTTTATGACTAGTTTTATGGCCCAATGCAGCAAGTACCATATAAGTTGGCATTTACAAGTTCCCTTGAAAAAGTAGTTGGATAAACATGGTACTACCCCATAATCATTATTAAGTGCAGCAATCATTACTAATCAAAAAGTGCAACAATCATTAATGATAAACAACCCGACCATTTTGGTCGGTTTGACTAACAAACTGGTTAGATAATTGATCTGGTTAACATTTTGGATCATATGTTAAGAAATCAACATAAACATAGGGATGTGTTAGATTGAATTAGATTGGAGGTATACTTTAATTGGTTTGGAAATAGTTTTTGTTTTTCAGCTTTTCAATTGTGAAGTAAAACTAACTCAATTTAAGCATATTTGAATTAGTTTGGATCAGATGATTTGATTTATTTTTAAAATAATAATAATAAAAATAAAAATAAGAAATTATATTATACAATTTGTAAAGTATAATGCTATATCATCAAGTCCAATTAATAAATATTACATACTTATAACACGTAAGCTTAAAGTATTTAACGTTATAAAATGTTATACATAGGTTGAGAAATAAACAAGTTCAGAATAAAAGAGGAGATAACATGATAACTCAATAGAATTTTGTTATTACTTTTTGAACTCAGAACAAATTCAATTGACTCTACAATTGATTATGTTTCAACTAATTGGGTTATATACCCTTCTAACAAACTCCATATACAGGAGTATAAAACCAAAATAGAAAATATAAAAGTATATAGATATATTAGAAAGTAACAAAGAAATAGATGGTGTTGTGAAAAATATGATTAAAAATAAAAATTTACCCTTCAAGTATGCAAATCGTAAAAAAATCTCGTAGATTCTTTCACAAAAAGATTATCTAAGAAAATGGTTTTAGATATGTCAAGATTTAAAGGAAAGTATGATAGATACCTAATAAATAGTCAAAGTGATATAAATAATTATATATATTACATTTCTTATCTTATAACGTGATAGTGTTTTATGTGAAGTTAAGCCACAAACTCTTAATAAATACATAGTCTTTGATATGTGTAATGTCAAAATAAGTGTTTTACTTTTTTTCAAATTATTTTAGATTAAATTAAAACCAAAAATAAAATAAATTTTTTTCTAAAATTCCATAGTTCTTTAGTAGACTTTAGATTGATTTAGGGTTTAAGTTAATACTAGTTATAGATGTGAGTCAATACTTTTTTTTTTTAAGTTAATGGATTAATCACCACATCAGTTCTCGATCAGGTCAATTGAACCCAATGATTCAATATAATTTTTAAAACTAATTAAATTTGACTCATGAAAACAAACTTAATTACCTTAACAAGATCATAGAAGACAACAAATTAAGTATTTGAAATAAGAAAAATAATAATTGCAAAAGCAATGAGTTATTTGATAAAAGAAAATATTTAGTACGTTTAAGAAAATTCAATTTTATTTAATATAAAAAATAAATTTATTAAATATATTATTATTCAATTTGGTCTCATTATTTTTAAATTATTCAATTTGGTCTTTTAATTTTAAAAAAAATATTTAATTTTATTTTTTTATTTGATTTCATTAATCTTGGTAGTGTCAATTTAAATATAAAGATAATATTAAATATTTTAAAAAATAATAGAAGATCAAATTTAATTATTTAGAAATAGTGAAACTAAATTAAATTCTAAAAATAGATAGAGAAAAAAAAATCAATTTAGCCTATAATATTTAGATGCAGATATTTCAGGGAAAAACAAGGATTGAAATCCCTGAGTTTGACTTTATGCCTTCAGAGAATTGGATGAAAACCAAACCAAAAGGAAAACAAATAAATACATAAAAGGGAAAAAAATTAGGCACACGTAGTTAATGAATTCTGATAATGAAGAGGATTGTAAAATTGTGACAATCATGCTATAAAATTAAAATTTTGTACATGGAAACTTCACACAAACTTATCATGTTTCCCTGGAGGATGGTGCAGGCGAGTAACTGTGATCACTAGAGTCCCTTTTCCATGAATTTTGAACTTGTACTGCAAACTGCAAATTCCAGAGAATATCTTCCACAGAAGGCCTTTCAGTTGGGTCACTAGAGAGACACCTTACACATATCTCCATCATTGTCATCAATGACTCATCTGAACAATCCTTGTGAACTGCTGGGTCAACAATACTCCTTCTAGCTATGTCATCAGTTTTAATGCTTACCTGTAACTGCAGAACAACAACATTGTTTGGATTAGGATGTAACTTAATGCCTCTTGTGCATAATATAAATCAATATGGGTTCTGTAACTTGGGTTGTACTCAAATGTGTTGCACAAAATCATTAGGATCGACTTAATGATGAAAGTTTGGAATAGTATACTCATAATTTTCAGATTAAACTATGTTGTTGTTATTGTAATCCCTATTGATAAAAAAAGAAAAAAGTGTGTTGCATAATGTTGCTTAGGTTTCATTTGATTTGTATTGAGGTACACCACAAAGAGTATAACACAAGTGATTGTGTCACAAGTGTATTGGTAGTTGCTTGATGACCACCAATGCACAAGATCATTGACTTTTATAGCAAATTATTTTTGTATCACTAAGAGATATAACTCTCTCCCACCAAATTGGTTCATTTTATGGATAAAGTAGTACTTTCAGTTATGATTCTATACACAAGACAAGGATCAAACCTTAATCTTAAGTTGAATACAAGTGTCGAACTACTCATTCTAACAACTTTTGATTTGTAGCAATTATTTTAAAAGTCATATATCTAAGATGATTTCTTATTGAATGATAATGTAAAATAATGTTAAACTCTTGGCATAGTATAAAAGTTAAACTCATTTTTTTATGTTGTATTGTTCCTTACGTTTTAGCAAATCAAATGTAGTCTTAATCTCAAATTAAGAAACTTATCCATAACTAGTTTAAAATTTTAGTATGAAATTTGAAGGTAATACTCACGAGATCTTTTAGTGTTCCAACTTCATTGTGGAACATTATTGGTCGTCCCAGAATGATTTCTAGCAAGATTACCCCAATATCATAGACATCATTCTTGTCTACATCCTTGATCCTGCATAAATAATTAATGCAATTACCTCAATTAATGCCAAGAGAAAAGAAATGTACATTAGTTTACACAATCAGCAAAGCACCCATGTAGTTCTACAAGACTCTATAAAAAAAGTTCTATAACCATTCCACATGATTGTAGACATTTAAACCTTTATGAACCAGGCTCAACAAGTTGTGTTTCATTAACATTTGTTTCACAAAGTGATCCCAAAGAAGTGCATAGGATTAGAAGCAGAAATATGTGGATCA